TTCATTCATTCATTCATTCATTCATTCATTCATTTTATTTTTATCCCGCCTATCTGGCCTTGCGGCCATTCTATCTGGCCCTGCGGCCATTCTAGGCGGCAAGAAGAGAAGGGGACGTCAGAGGACGAGATGGTTGGACAGTGTCATCGAAGCAACCAACATGAATTTGACCCAACTCTGGGAGGTAGTGGAAGACAGGAGGGCCTGGTGTGCTCTGGTCCATGGGGTCACAAAGAGTCAGACGCGATTTAACGACTAAACAGCAACAACAAGGTTTCAAACACAAGGATTGTACTGTAGAGAATCTCAAAGTTTTCACTTCTCTTAGCTCCAAATATAAACTGAGATTTATTGAGAGAAATAATGATGACCAAAGAGCAAAAAAGTGTCTAATCAGGCCTCATTTAACTGCAATACAATATAGCTTTGAAAAACTGTTAGCACCTATTTTAATGTGTTAAAAAGCAATCCTGAATACCAAAAGAGGCTGAGAAGTGTGGAATATAAGCCAAACGTCATTACAGAGCTACATGCCGGATCAGTTTGCAGCTGTTTCTCCTTTGCAAAATGACCCGAAGGGAAGGTCACATGTAAGCAGAGATGACTTGGGAGACGTGGTAAGAGAGAGCGTTTCACAACCCCCCTACCCATCTCCCTTGAAACACCTCCTCAACAAGTTATTCTGGAACCCTGGGGGGTGGGAGAGCAGCTGTTAAAGAGTTCCAAATGGTCGTTTCTGAAGGGTGCTATGCAAAGGAGAAATGGGGGCTAATATTACAGTGGTTCCTCTGTGTAGGTGAGATCACACGGGGAAATAGACTGCAATCTGGACTGCTTGTGGAGTGATCTGGTGTGATCTTCTCCCTGGTGATCAAACAACCCATGGAGAAAGGTGCTCCAGCCTGACTCCAAACCATCCCCACGTGTGACCTTTTTGGTCCATCTGTAAGTCTTCTACTTTTGGGGGCTGGGGCAATTCACCAGTAGAGGGAAGGGTTGCTTTGAGGGAGAACGCTTCCATGAAAGTGACCCTTTCTGGTGTGGTCTGGGGCATCGAATTTAGAATAACATAGAACTGCAGAGCTGGAAGGGACCCTATGGATCGAGTCCAGCTGCTGTCAAGGAGGCAGAGTGGGAAATTGAACTACCAACCTCTGGCTCCACAGCCAGATACCTTGAACCACTGATCTATCTTGCAGTTTCTATCTTTGCATCTATCTGTTTGCACTGACATCGTGTTAGAATCACTTCCATCATTCCCTTAACGGGTCCTCCTACTTTTTATTATTGCCTTGATTTCTGCTCTGAATTGTACAACAATACTTGTACAACTATGGCAAACCCTGGACATTTATTAAAGACTGGGGAACAAAAAGGAAATGAGAATGCACTTCTCAGTATAACCTTATATGATTTATGAGAAGCTGGGCTTTTTTTTAACTCTTAGGTTGCATCTATATTGCTGGCAAGTCACTTTGAATTTCCCTATCCACTCTTGCTTCTGTCTCTAAATTTCACAAACTCTCCTCTGTAGGATTGGTCATTTCCCCAGTCTTCCATTTCAGAGGCAGGCTTCTACAGCGCTCTGCATCTCTTGAAAATATACCTGTCTAAGGATTCTCTTGTGAATAGAGAAGGACCGATTCATTATCATCTGGGGGCATCCTAGGCATAGCAGCCACGGAGACAGAGAAGCCTGTCATGTAAGGAAGAAACGATCCTCCTTTTTTAAAAAAAGGGAGGGGGGAGAAAATCTTGTGCAAGACTTGCTTGCCTCAGCATCTTCTAGCCACTCCGTGCAGCCTCTCACGTTTCAGAGGGCTTCTCTCCTGGGGAAGATTGTGTTCTATAAACATAACAGCAGTGAAGCTGTCAATGGGAAGTTCTGCTGGTTGATTTCAGCTGCACGCGGACTGCATGATTAGCGAGAAAGTCAAAACAACAAAGAGTCCTGGAGAACCTTTTAGACTAAGACATTTATTACAGCATAAAAATGTTCTTTCTGCAGCCGCAAGTTATCATCATCTTTTGGAAGCCAATACGAAATTAAAATTGGCCGTCTCCTGTCCTCTCTCAGCCTCAAAGCACTTGATAGCTAGAAAGCATATTCAGGATTCAAATGCTTCTTTTGGAAAAGGCCAAATTGTGTTCTAAATCAGTTCCAAGCATGGTTTGATGCAACAGAGAGTGCCTCATTTCAGAACTGTATCTGCCCTGTGCTGTGCTTTGTTTTGCAGAAAGCCTCTGGTTTTATTTAGGTTATTGCTTTCCTTTCTCCTACTGGCACTAGGAACTTGTCTAGCCTCGTTAAACAGCGAACGTTTGTTCGCTAGATTGAAATGAAATAGCCTCTCAAGATTCTGCCCCATCACAGAGAACTGATGAAATGGGCCAAACTAGTTGGAGAAGTTGAACTTAACAGAAAGAGGCCAGGACACATATGAATGAACCTTTTCATGCTCATGGAAGATCTTTCTTCACTTACCTTCTTCCTTTCCCTAGCAATAATGTCAGCTATCTGTATCTGTATAAATGCAAACAGCCTGCAGTTTTTGATGCTGAGGGCCAGACTACACAAGATGATTCCCTATCTAGAAGCATTGTTCCCTCAAGTGGCAAAAGATGTCTGACTGTGAAAGTTTTAGAAGCAGAAGTACAATTGATCATTATATTATAAAGATCATTTTCCTTTGCAAGCCTGATTGCTGAAGTGTACACAACAGAGATTGCTGTACTGATGGGAAGATGGAAAAGATGAAAATATGTGTAATCCTTTGAAGCCCAAAGGGAACAGTATCAGAGAGAGAGATCAGAACTGTGGGTCTCTGACGCTGATTAGTTGCTCTCCTAGAATGCTAGTGGGGAGCAGTGATCTCTAGAATGTCAACTATGACTCTCCACCTATGCTCAATCTATTTATTTTTAATGGTTGTTGTGGGTTTTTCGGGCTCTTGGGCCGTGTTCTGAAGGTTGTTCTTCCTGACGTTTCGCCAGTCTCTGTGGCCGGCATCTTCAGAGGACAGCAAATTGTGCTCTGACAACTTATTTTTAAGTTGTCAAATATATCATTATCTTCCTATAATCTCACTACCAGAAAAACCAAGCCCAGTGAAGGCACATCATAGAGATTTTGAATGAGTGTAATACCTTAGTATTTCTGAATTCAACATATATGAAACAGGTTCAAGTGTTACCTATCCACCTTTTCTCCAGTTTGGTGTTTCTGTGACAGACATTCAGCTTCCCATGCTTATGCAGCAGTATGTTGTACACAAGGAAAACATACAACGGTTTTTACAGTGTTTTCAGGACAGTGTTGCTCCATACAGATTTGGAGTATTTATGTTAATTTTAAATGCCATTATAATTTATAGTACAGTAATAATGTGTGCCTTCAAGTCAATTCTGAGTTATGGTGACCCTTTTCAGGGGTCTGTAGGTAGTGTACTCAGAAGTGGTTAGCATTCTCTTCTTCAGGGGATGTCTTGGGATTGTATAGCTTGACCAAGATCACCCAGGCTGGCTCTTCTGGGATGAATGGGGCCCCTGTGAACTCCCAACTTTCTGCTCCACAGCCAGATACTTAACCCACTATCCAGTCAGCAGGTTATTACATCCATAGGTTAAAAACATGTAGATTCAGTCCTCATCATGGGCCAAAAAAGCTACTTAATATGTTGCAGTAAGGTTTTAAAAAAAACTTTCCTTGTTGTTGTTCATTAGGCAATCCATAAAATTGATTTCACAAATTGTATGTTACATGCCATCAAGTTGGAACTGGCACAGCGACCCTAATAGGGCTTTCAATGTGAGATATATAAGAAGTGGTTTTACCAGTTCCACTCCATCTTGCTTGCAAAAGACCATTGCTTTTCCCCTCCCCGATTACCAGAACTAAACCAAAGCAAACTAATTTGCAACTTCTGAGGCTGTGAAAGCCATTTGAGGATTATTGTGCTCATGTAAGTGTTGAAGTGGACATGCTGGCGCTGCGGGTTAAACTGCAGAAGCCTTTGTGCTGCAAGGACAGAAGACCAGCAGTCGTAAGATTGAATTCACATGACGGAGTGAGCTCCCATTGCTTGTCCCAGCTCCTGCCAACCTAGCCGTTCAAAAGCATGCAAATGCAAGTAGAAAAACAGGTACCACCTCGGTGGGAAGGCAACGGCGTTCCGTGTCTAGTCGTGCTGGCCACGTGACCAGGAAACTGTCTTCGGACAAACGCTGGCTCTACGGCTTGGAGATGGGGATGAGCACCGCACCCTAGTCAGACACAACTGGACTGTTAATGGGAACCTTTACCTTTGTGTTGACTTCTAGTTGCAAAGATGCATGTTTGTCTGTTTTAGCCTTCAGAATTCTCCTTCTCACCTCCCTAGCCAATGACTCACTCACCAGCTGGAGCTTGCTCCTCTCCTCCTTCTCTTCAGCTGTTCAACCAGTCACCGGTAGGACAAGCAAACCTGTGTTCCTACCGGGCACTGGTCAAACAACCAAAGAGAAGGAAGAGAGGAGCACACTCCAACTGGTGAGTGGGTCGCTGGCTAGGGAGGTGAGGGAGGAGCATCCATGGTGCTCATTGAAAAGATGCTCATTGATGACATTTGTATTTCTCATAACAACCCAAGACCTGAGAATTAAAAATATAACTTTATTTATACACAGTCTTCCATAAAAATCACATTTGAGGTCAATGCTGAGGAAGGAACAAGACAATATGAGAAATGTTTCACAACTCCAAAATAGTCTTTTTCAGTGCAAACCCAGAGCACAGAAACAGTCATAGAAAGTCCATCATTTAACATTGCAAGATTAAAAGCATTAAGTGCAATACCAGTTTACTGTGGTCCTGTACCAACAACAGTTTCAGATACCCAGCATGCAGAAATGTACCAAATAGTGTGCTAATATTAGCCGTATAACTTTTCCCCTGCAACTGAATAGACCACAAAGACCTCTACTTCTATGAGAGTCCTCATGACTTTGTTTTGGATAGCTTTTTTTCTTTTTTTTTTTGGCCATAGGCTTTTATGCCAGAAAATACCAAGTACTTGTGGTAAGGTCAGAAGATGTGAATTATTCTTCACAATAAATGCATTCAATTATCGCCAAGAAACTAATCTGAAGAAAATCAGAGTGCCACTACACAAACATCCAAGTGCTTGAAAGTTCCCAGTTTGCTTCTTTCTACATACTGGTCAAGATGGATTCAATAAAAAGCTTGGAGAATTAGACTACATCAGTTTCTGTCTCTCCCCTTTGATATTACACTCTTGGCTTCAGAACGATTGGGAAGTATTGGCCCTCCAGATGTTCTGGACTATGCTTCCCAAAGTCCCACGCCACTGGACATACTATTTGGAACTTTAGGGAGCTAAAGTAAAAAAACATCTGGAGGCCACTATTTTTCGCTCCTGGATTAGGATCTGGTCCCTAATGCTTTTCTGGCAAAAATACACTTAACTTTGACTTCTGTTCTTTTAAAGGTGGTATTGTTTAGTATAACTTGTGTGTATCAATACATGAAGCTTAGATTGCAGTCCCGTGAAATACAACATTTAAGAACTTAAAAAAAAACATTTAGAAAGACATTCAGTGTAACACTTTATTTGGATACTGGCTATCAATGTCAACTTTGTCGGGGGTTGAGAAAGTGATAAGACTATATAATGTTTACAGGTTCTCTAAGATGGCAAACTAAGTAAAAGGACTTGAAGTCATGTCCAGGCAAGCCAGACGAAAATCTAGAGAAACGAAGCTAAAAGAAGGTCCCATCCTTACAATCTGAAAGGCTTTCGGATACAAGGATTCCTCTCCCGAGCCTGCTTAATGCCCCCTTCCGAGACTGAGGTAAAATGCCACCAACAGCCAAAGAGATGGATCACTCCTTGGATTGTGGAAGATGTTTCATGCTTATAGGCCCACCTCTGTATCAAGTAGATGGACAAAAACCAGCAGAAGATTAGATGACCAGTTTACCTCTCTTGCCCTTCATAGGATTTGATTGATTCTCTTCTCTGAAGCCAACTTATGAGAGCTCTAAAGTGCTCCTCCAAGCCTGTGGTGAAACAGATGTCTGAACCCACCATCCCTTGCACCAGTTGTACAACTCTGATAAGGCAACTAAGATCTGCTTCATCAGCCAGCCTTTTTGGAGGCCAGAAGTATGGGGGAAACAAATCAACAAAAAGAGATTGCATGAATAGTTCCTTAGACCAGCATGAAAGACAAGCTCAATTTAAGCAACATTTCAGGTCAAACACTTTGACAAACACAACTGGGGCAGTCCACAGTGGGAGTGGGGTTGGTAGGACAGCTCACTGTGAAACAGTATGCTTATAAGCCCCCGGGCCATTTTAAACACTAGCAACCAACATTTGTTCTATGAAACTAAAGCGACATTCAGTGGCCAAAGTCACATCAAGTGGTTTATAAACTTCACCACCACCATCACATTTCCAGAAGTTAGAAAGGCCTGTGCAGTTGAAAATCAGTTCTTCATGATACTCTGGGCAAATGAGTCCACAGCAAACCAACCCAATCAGCCTTTACAGCATCTGCCTTCCACACTGGAATTACACAGATGTTAGCTGGGTCAAGAAAAGCTAGTTGGATCAACTTGGGTGACAGTGCAGCAGAAGGTCCCAACCATTAACACGAGTTAACATCGCTCTGCAAGGAGTTATTTCCGCCCTCTTTTTCCATCACTGCTGCAATATTTGAAAGCATTCTACTAATTCTGGCTTAAATATCCCAGAAACATGCATTTCTAGTTGTTTGGGAAACCTCAGGGTTAATCTCCTTAGTTCTTCTCTAAAAACAAACAAAAGCTTAAAGGCCAGAAGAATTTAGATTAACAAAAATTGGACATCCAAAAATGCCAAAAAGTAAGAGCTTCACTTCAGGTAACATTTATTATAACCACCAGGAATCAGCTGTAGTCAAGCTGGCTGATGGGCTTTGCCAAGCTGATGCCAAATATGGAATGTTTCAAGTATCGGTAGTTGTGTTCTGTACCATCCTACCTAGTGACAGCTAGCTGCACTGAGGGTTTCCCAGTCCAGGAAGATGTATGGATATTGTGCAAAAGTCAGCATCATCTTTAAAACAAACAAACAAACAAACATCAAGTCCTATTTCTAAAGGCTTCAGGCTCATGAATTTAAAAAAAAATTGGAGGGGAGAGAAGCAGACTTTCTAGCATTCTTCAACAACTGTCCCAATCAAGGAGTACAGTTTTTTCTTAATTAGTCTAAATCCAGGGCTCAGGATGAGAGTACGTTTACTTTGAGAAATAAAGCAAACTCTGGGGAAGAAATCCCTGAAACTAGGCCATGAACCATTATCCTGTTTGAACACCAGTGTTAGTTCAAAAGTGGGGACAACAGTCGGATCGTAGGCAACCTTATCGAGCTTTTTACATATGCTTCCCATTTCCAAATTGACATGAATAACACAGCCCCTTAAACCACAAGGCTCGGTTGAGGAGAGACGCAAGATATCTTGAGCTATCCTCCTGGTTAATTTCTCAGGGACTAGAACCCTTGAGCAATGCAGTCTGGTCTTCTTTGACTTTGACAGGCAGTTCTCCAGCATTCTCACTAGGCTCTGACATGTTTTCTCTTCAAACACCACCTCATTAAAATTAGGCTCAGGCACTACATAATCCCAGTAGTCAAAGTCTGTAAGGGATAGAAGAGAAACAGAGTCTCAAAAACTGACAAGAAGCCAGTCAGCACTTGCAGTATCAAATGATTTCCTTAAGCAATATATTTATTTTCATAGTGGCTCATCACATTAATGTCAAATGGCAGCTTAGTATAACATATCGGGTAACGAGCCCTGCTTTGAATTCAACCAGAACTGTTTATTAATTCGGTGCTGCTCTGGTAGGGCCAGTTGTATGAGATCAATAAAATGGATTTTGATTGGAACTAGGCCTTTCTGGCCCCTAGCAATGTTTGATTTATTTGAAAAAGAGAAATAGATGACTGTAGCAGGAACACGCACATGGGAGATGACAAAGTAGACTAAGAAGCAGAGGACCCAACTATGTTTTCCTAAAGATTATATTCTCGCAACCTGTCAAAAACCAGATCCAAGTATTTCCGCACGCAAAACGATGCAACTGGTGTACATTAACTGCATTAAGGAAGATCTGATTATAAATGTGCCACACTATTTCATTGATAGGGAAAATTAATGTATTTCTACACACTTTTTTCATCCTAAAGAGAATTAAGAACAAGACCAGCACAATGACAAATTGACAAGGTGGCAATCCTCAATGCTATCCCTGGAGTTTAAGGCCCAAAGTATGTCTTAGAAACAGCCCTTCATTAGAACAGGGAATTCATTCAGTACTGACAACATCTATTAAAGCAGGAGACTTTCACATCTTCCACAGTTTGCAATTTAAATTGCTTGTTTTGTGACTGGTCCTCAGAAGGTAAGCACGGGCTTCATTTTGCCACGCTGACTGACTGAATCACATCTTCAGAGCATCAGTGGATTTCATCTACTAATGACATCCCATTCACATTGAATTCATTGACATTTAAGGCTATGATTTAGCTTAGACCTAAATCTCACTGCATTCAGTGCAAATTAATTCCAAGCAAGTGGCTTTAGTCTTTCTATCACTAAATGCTTCTGGCTATCTCCACTTGTAAGAAACCATCAGTTTCACTTGAATTTTATATCAACACAACATACAACTGTCTACATTAGCTTTATGCATAGAAGTTTTGTTTAATGTAGCCAAATTAAAAAAATGGCAATGATTCTACAAAATGAATTGGAGGTTTTCTTGAAGAAATTGTTCAGAGTTGTCCACACGCAGTGAAAACACATACTGTACATAGCAGTAACATATTGAGTGTTGTGACAAAGTAGAAAAGGAAAGGACAGGTGATGTTTTACTCTAGAGATTATATGGCAATAATGTAATGTCCCATGATCACATACATTTCACTTTATATTATACATCTTTTATGTTATATTCTCTAAAATGATTTCAAAATTTTATGGGTTGCTAATCTCTCTGGGGCCCAAATAGGACAAAAAGTGTGAAAGTTACTGTTTTGTACCGTCCCATTGGAACAAACTTACAGCAAGCCTAATAGGGCTTTCAAGGTAAGTGAGATGTTTAACATATCATTTAACTAGTTCCAGCCCCCAGAGACCAAGCAGGGATTTGGATGCAAATCCCCTGAAATTGTAGTCCATGTCTTTATCCACTGGGTAGTTGTGAATGTTATAGCTTAACAAAAAACGAGTATTAAGAATACTACTTTTAAGGCTGTTTCTTTAAATATGGCATACTCCCCTCTCCCAAATGGCAGGAAATTTTGCAAGAGAAAATTTTTCCCAAATGCTTGGGGCTTATTTCCTGTACTAACAAGATATTTTTCAAATATCAGAGCCTATACAGCTTTACCAAATGCAATAACGAGCTTCCACTCAAGAGATTACTTTCAGTCAGTGAACAGCAAATAACCATCGTCATCATGAATACTCACCAGTTAAGGTTGCATGCTGGAAGCGCTGCTGCATCAGTTCAGATATGCATGAAGAGTTCTTGCTGTTTAAGCTGCTGGTTGCAACCATTCTGAAGAACTGCAGCCCTCTCTACCAATATCGGGTCAGTACACCTTTCTTGGTTTACTGCAAGAAAAGCAAATCTGGTTTAATGACAGGCTCTCTGAAAATAGTTATTAACAGGAGAAGGTAAAGTTCAAAGTTGCAGCAGAAAAGGGAGCACCAGGAAAGAAGTGACACGGTCTCAGATCTGTCTGCTCAGCCTCTCAGAGGTCTAGTAATAATAATAATGATAATTGTGAGCCACCAAGCTAATAGCAATGTCTGGCAACCACTTCCAGGGTTTTCTAGATACTGAGTATTCAGAATTTTCTTCAGAGACCTGTACAACCTGTCCAAGGCTATAAAGGCTGGCTCTTCTCCACAGAGGCACAGTAGGGAACCAAAAGACTGGCTCCTATCTGGCTGAGCTATCCAGCCAGCTCATTTGGAAATAAATCCCACTGAATGTAGTGGAGATTATTCCCAGGCAAGCCTCCTTAGGCTAACAGTTGACCCTCTTAAAGGACAAATGATTTTCCAGAGAGCCCCAGGAAGTCTTATTTTAAAAACAAACCACCGATCCAACTCCCACGGGTGGTTTGTTGAAATGCAAAACCAACCTAGATAAGACTGGAAGCAGCTCAGAATACTTATTGTCGTTCAATGGGTTGTCATTCATTCAAACGTCCAACACAGGAACCCTCCTTACCTGCTAAGACGTAAAGTGCGTGAAGTGAGATTTGCTACAACATGACCCCAGAGTCATTAGAAATTTTTTAAAAATAGAATATTAAAAATCGACACAAGAAATAATTTTTTTTGCAAGCCCTACCCCTCCACCTCTTGCACACACCCTCTCCACCTACCCTCTTCTTTTTACTACAGCCGTCAGCAGGCATTTTATAGAGAGGTCGGTCTCCCCCCTCCCTCTCGTGCCCACCACGGTGCCCCACCTCCGCCCCAGATTTCGGGCGGCGGCGGCGGGCGGGGGGGGGTTCAGCGTGACACTTGGCCGGGGCTCTCCCTTCTTTCTCCCTGGTCCCGGCCCTTAAGGTGGTCCGTTGTTGCGCGCCGGGCGAAGCGGAGCGCCCACCTCAGCCCGCTCTCCATCCCGCGACTCCTCCTCCCGTCGTTGGGCGGGAGGGGCGGCGGGGGGGAGGCTTGATTGGTCAACCTGAACGTCCGAAAGGCCGCGGGGGTGGGGTGGGTGAGAGGAAAGGAGAGCCGTCGGGTCACCTGACTCGTGTCACTCACTCCCATCTGGGCCCAGAGTGGGTTCTCTGACCCGGCCCAGCTGCTTTTCGGGCGCCTGCGGCTTGACCCGCTTCTCTCTCTCCGTGGGGTGCGTGACTGGCGGGGGCTGCGTTTGAATGGGCGATCCCGGCCCCGTCCAACCTCCAGAAGAGTGCACGCGTTCCAAGGAGCCCACGCTCCAACCGGACAGACTTCGGGATTGCAAGTTGTACACGTGTGTGTGTGTGTGATGTTCGAGCTTCTTCTCTCACCTCCGCCCCCCTCCATGTGTTTATTAACTAAGAGGAAGTTAATCAGGACGAATGTAACGTTTGGACGCCATTGTAATGATCTTAAAAATCACAGGGCAACTGAGATTAGCGAGTAAAAGAATGCTGTTAAATCATAATCCCCGTCTCAAATTTGGTCAAGTCACGCGTCTGTAATGCGCATGAACGAAATGAACGGCGGTGGTTCATCTTGTGCTAAGGAAAACTACTTCCTCTGCAGCTTCTGGCTGTCTTCCCGGGGGCGGTCAGGTTGCTGTTCGTCCGGTACAGCAGACTCTCATGACGAACATTTATCCAAACTAACAGGAGCTCTCGCCTGTTCCTTGGGAGTTTTGATCAAGGCGAGGGGCTGGGAAACCATACAGACTAAAAAATTCTTGAGAGTTGAGGTTCAGGGCTATTGGAGGATAGTCCATGATCACTATTAATGTACCTCATAGGATACCTGGAGAGAGTGGAAGTTGCAGCCCAACGTATATCAGGGGTGCCAGTTTGTTTGTTTAAAATATTTTAACCCCACCTTTCTCCTTAAAAAGAATCTTAAGGTGTATCACATCATTAAAAAAAACTGTATTAACACAAACAGTGGTGAGTATACAAATACAGAAGGATGAGGAAATACTATATGAAAAAAGCATTAGCAGGACAAAAACACATTTAAAGCCATAAGGCACAATAATCCATTTAAAAACTCCACTCGGGGCCAGTCACTGAGGGAAAGCTTGCCTGAAGATAAAGGTTTTGACCTGCTTGCAGAAGAACAGCAAAAATGGGGAAGAGTGGTAAATGCTGAGCCATCCCCTTAACATTATTACATTCATTGATGCCAATTGGGTATTTCTCCCAAAGCTGATGATTATACAATATGTGTATGATTTTCCCCAGGTTGCTGCAGGTGAGGGAAGCTTAAATCTTCCCATCATCCACAATCTTCAGAAAAAACAAGCCCTCTCTTCTATTTATTTATTTGGCTTTTATACTGCCCATCTAGACAAATCCACTCTCTGCAGTTTACAGTCCAAAAAGGCAATAAAATTAAAATAATCAATAACAAGACTAAGACAAGCCAAAAACCAGAGGAAAAAATTAAATAGTGTCAGGAGAGAAGGCCTGCCTGAAGAGCCAGGTCTTCAGTTTACTCTTAAAAACTCCCAGCGAGGGAGCCAGGCAGATCGCAGAAGGGATGATGTTCCAGAGGTGAGGGGCCACCACTGAGAAGGCCTGGTTTCTAGTTTTTTCCTTCCGGGCCTCTCTCGGAGTTAAGCCCCTCAGCCGCCCAGTCTGATTAGAATGAGTGACTGATTCAAACTAAGTGGAAGAAGGCGCTCTGACAACTTTATATGTAATCATTAGAACCTTGAAATCAATGCAGAATCTAATGGGTAACCAGTGTAAGGTGGCCAGAGTGGGGGAAATATGATATTTTTTCACCCCAGTTAGTAATCTGGCTGCTGTGTTCTGGACCATTTGAAGTTTCTGCATCAATCTCAAGGGAAGCCCCACGTAGAATGCATTGCAGTAGTCTAATCTCGAGACTACGAGTGCGTGGACAAGTGTGGTGAGCACGCTAACACCAAGATAGGAATGCAGCTGGGCAATCTGCCAAAGATGTAAATGGATGGTGCGGACCACAGATGTTACCTGGAATTCCATGGCAAGCGCCAGGTCAAGATGGACCCCAAAGCTGCAGACCACACTTTTTGTGATGAGAGTTGCTCCCTCAAAAGAGAGGGAGCTTCCCAAACCTCTGATGACAGGGGCACCCACTCTCAAGACCTTTGTCTTGTCCGGGTTCAGCCTCAGTCCATTTTCCTGCATCCATTACAGAACAGCCCTCAGGTAGTGCTCTAGGGACATAATGGCATCCACTGCTGATGGAACAAAGGAGATGTGGAGCTGAGTGTCATCAGTGTACGAGCCACCACACCTCCAGATAACCCCACCGAGAGGCTTCATGTAGATATTAAACAGCATTGGAGAGATGATGGAGCCCTGCAGGGCCCCATAATCGAGGAGCCACGGGGCCAAAACATTCTCCCCAAGATGGACTCTCTGAGAATGGTCCTTCAAGAAGGACTGGAGCCAGGCAAGAGCCAGACCACCAATCCCCAACTTGGAGACCATCCCCAGGAAGATACTGTGGTCGAAGGTATCAAAGGTGGCTGAGATGTCGAGGAGAACCAACAAGGCCCTTGCTTTATGATAGTGCAGAAAATGGTGTGATAGAATTTGCTATTCATTTCTGGTATCCATCCCTAAACGGTTTGCATTGGGGCTGATCAGCGCCAGTCAGCCAGCAGTATAGAATGAACATGCATGTGGTAGCTTCTGGCACTAGCTGTGCCGGTCAGAATTTCTGGGAGTTGCAGTCCAAGAATGTTTGGGAACCACTGGTGTAATGTCATGGACCCTTGATGTCCTGTTGGTCTGGGGGCTGCTGTTCCAGATCCTGCAAAAATTGATAGTCATAACTAGGAGGAGGATTGCTATGACATTTCACACTTTCTCTGCTTGAACCCACAAACAAGTTTAATCATGTTTATGAGTAATCTGGCCTTTCTCACCAGATTACTCATAAGCATGTCCAAATTCACTTAAAAGTTCAAACATAGGCTGCAAACAAAGAAACAAACAAATAAATAAATAATGACATCATAGAAATCCTCCCTCTAGTCATAACAGCGAGATAAAGGTCATAATGTCAGGTAGCCAGATATTGTTGCAGACCCTAGGGGCCACAAAAACTGCAGAGACAATAGAGTATTTTGTTGAGTTTTTGTTGTTGTTGAACCTCCAGGCCCCTAGAACTTGCAAAGCCTGGAGATAATAATGTGAAAACAATATAAAAAGTTATAAATACGATGAAATAGGACACATATACACTTTATCATTACAGGATGGTTCCATGATATGTCATGCATACCGAATATTAGCAAGAAACATGTAGCAATGCAGCAGCAGGTTTTATTTCCAGAAGCTAGTGACAACAGTCATCATGGATTTTCCTCCATAGTGCTTTTGCACTAATGGGCGACAGGCATGAAGGCAGGCAGGCAGGCAGGCGTGCTTTTGCACTAATGGGCGACAGGCATGAAGGCAGGAAGGCATGAAGGCAGGCATGAAGGCAAGGCAGGCAGGCAGGCAGGCAGGCAGGCGGCTGGGCGAACATTTAATTTTTTTTTAATTTTTGTGTTCTTAATATGCTTAGAGGCTAAGAAAGTTAACTTTTTTTACTTTTAACAACTTTAATATTTTAAAAGATGTGTTCTGTCTTTTGATTTTTAAAAGTGCCTTTTTAGGCTATGAGCTCGCATTTTTAGAAAGGAACTTAAAGCATTCTTTTTGATTTTTTTTAAAAAAACTTTTGCTCCTGTCTTTTGGATTAAATTTTGACTTAAGTATTTGTTTGCAACTTAAATATAGTTTTCATATATTTTTAAGTGTTTGAGCCTACAGTTTTTGTCACAGCTGTAAGACTTTTGTCTTTTACAACATTTCTGAAGTATTATGTGTATATGAAACGTAGAAGCAATGTAGATAAATAAAGCTGATAGTATTAGATGAGCTGATGCCTGGAATTATTGCAGCAATGAAAAAAATGTATGCTTCGATACTGAGATGAATTTTGATATGATTATCAAATATTGGTTTCATTCTGGAGTTAACCCTTTATCGGGTTAAATGCTAGCTGTGACAAACACAGGCTTATGATTTTTCCCAGGAGAGCTGTAAAGATCTGAAGGACTCCTAGGGAGGGTTAAGTGTTAGTTTCTCTAACCTGAACTACAGCTGTTGTTGCAAGATCCAGTATATTTTATGTATATATGTATATTTTTCAGAACTGAGTGGTAACAGCATCTGCCAGAGCCCTAAGGTGATTAATAGCCTTTCTTGCTTCTAAGTGAAGTGATAAGGAAGCTTTTAAATTGTACAGTTGTTTGTGGCAGTTTTGTATAAAATCAATAATTAGGAGAATATTTAAGCAGGAACTTTTCCTTTTCTTTGGCATTCTCAATTTTTGGTAGCCATTTAAGTTGCATCACTGTGAAATTGCTTGCATTTTTAAGTAAATGTTAATAGTCACATTTCAAGGAGCTGGAGATCTTTTGTTAAAATTCACTGTATTTTACAAGTTGAACTTTTACTTGTCAGAAGTAGGCACCACTAGCTAGTTGGATAGCTCAGTGGTTTAGGTATCGGGCTGCAGAGCCATAAGTTGGGAGTACAATTCCTCCATTGTGCCTCCTCTGAGTAGAGCCAGTCTGTGTGATTTTGGGCATGCTCCACAACAGCCCCAGGATGCTCCCAAAAGAAGAGAATGGTAAACTTCTTCTGAGTCTTCTCTATCTGAGCCACCCTGAGGAAGGGTCATGATAAGTCAGATGGTGCACGATGATGATGATGATGATGCAGATGCATCATTGAGTTCAGTGAAGTGTAACGGTAAAGGTAAAGATTCCCCTTGACAATTTTTGTCCAGCCATGTTCAACTCTAGGGGGCAGTGCTCATCCCCGTTTCCAAGCCATAGAGCCAGTGTTTGTCCGAAGACAATCTTCCGTGGTCACATGGCCAGTGCGACTTAAGACACGGAACGCTGTTACCTTC